ATATGTGGGTGTATTTTTATGTTTCCCGATCAGTAAATTTTGAAAATGACATCCATTTTATGTTTACGCCACTGTGTTTTGACTTATTTAAGTTTTTAGAATTTATCCAATATAAAGGTCTACTTTTATGTTTCCGGAGCCGTAGATTTTGAAAACGACCTTCATTTTAAGATTAGGCCACCGCGTTTCGACTTATTTGAGTTTTTCGGATATTTTTCATATGAGGGTGTATTTTTATGTTTCCGGAGCTGTAGATTTTGAAAATGACCTCCATTTTAAGATTAGGCCACCGCGTTTCGACTTATTTGAGTTTTTCGGATTTTTTTCATATGAGGATGTATTCTTATGTTTCCGGAGCCGTAGATTTTGAAAACGACCTCCATTTTAAGATTAGGCCACCGCATTTCAATTTCTTTGAGTTTTTCGGATTTTTTTCATATGAGGATGTATTCTTATGTTTCCGGAGCCGTAGATTTTGAAAACGACCTCCATTTTAAGATTAGGCCACCGCATTTCGATTTCTTTAAGTGTTTCGAATTTTTATCATAAAAGAGTGTATTCTTATGTTTCCGGAGTCGTAGATTTTGAAAATGACCTCCATTTTAAGATTACGCCACTGCGTTTCGGCTTATTCAAGTTTTTCGAATTTATCCAATTTAAAGGTCTACTTTTATGATGCCGGAGCCTTAGTTTTTAAAACGACTTACATTTTAAGATTAGGCCACTGTGTTTCGGTTTTGTTAAGTGTTTTTGATTTTTCCTTCGAATAAAAAACATAATACGAAGGATTAATTTATTTTTCAATAAATAAATAAAAATATCTAATCAAAATAAATAAAATATGTATTGTCTCATTTTTAATTTAATTTTAGTTATCTTTTTTAATGTTGTGGTCTCCTATCACAAAATTATAAGATTTCGAACAATTAGCTGAAAAATCTGAATACGGAAGGTTAAATTTATTACCAGTTGCTTTTCGGCTTTTTAGTTTGTATTCTGTGGTTAATTTTACTTTAGCTTCATAATATTTATTTATTTATTCATACTCGAAAACATATTGATGAAACTTTGTATTGAAAAAATCCAAAATGAAGCCTAATTAATCAAGATGCAGCGGCTTAATCATAAAATGGAGCTTAAATATTAGATAAATTTAAATATTAAAGATTAGAAAAATTTCAATACGTCTCGGATAACATATAAGTAGATCCTTATACCGAAAAAGTAAAAAAAAAAACTTTTATAATCCAAAACAGTGGCATAAACTTTAAATTGGGTCATTTACAAAATGGGGGAAATCTACTGCTCCAGAAACATAAAATTAGACCTTTATACTTGTTAAATTCTAAAAATTTAAATAAGTTGAAACGCAGTTGCGTAATCATAAAATAGAGGTCATTTTCAGAATCTACGGTTCCGAAAACATAAAAGTAGACCTTTAAATTGGATAAATTCGAAAAACTTAAATAAGTCAAAATGCAATGGCGTCATCATTAAATGGATGTCATTTTCAAAATCTACGGCTCAAGAAACATAAAAGTAGACCTTAATATTGGATAAATTCGAAAAACTTAAATAAGTCAAAACGCAGTGGCGTAATCATAAAATGGAGGTCATTTTCAAAATCTACAGCTCCGGATACATAAAAATACACCCTCATATGAAAAATATCCGAAAAACTCAAATAAGTCGAAACGCGGTGGCCTAATCTTAAAATGGAGGTCATTTTCAAAATCTACAGCTCTGGATACATAAAAATACACCCTCATATGAAAAATATCCGAAAAACTCAAATAAGTCGAAACGCGGTGGCCTAATCTTAAAATGGAGGTCATTTTCAAAATCTACAGCTCCGGATACATAAAAATACACCCTCATATGAAAAATATCCGAAAAACTCAAATAAGTCGAAACGCGGTGGCCTAATCTTAAAATGGAGGTCGTTTTCAAAATCTACGGCTCCGGAAACAAAAAAGTAGACCTTTATATTGGATAAATTCTAAAAACTTAAATAAATCAAAACACAGTGGCGTAAACATAAAATAGATGTCATTTTAAAAATTTACTGATCGGGAAACATAAAAATACACCCTTATATCGAATAAGTCAAAAAAACTTAAATAATTCGAAACGCAGTCACGTAATCTTAAAAAGGAGGTTATTTTAAAAAACTACTCATACGATAACAGACCCACGCATCGAAAAATTAAAGATAATTAAATAAATAAAAAAAGGTTGAATTTGAAATGGAAAAGGTTTAATTTGGAATGGAAAAGGTTGAATTTGCCTTGGAAAAAGTTTAATTTGATTTGGAAAAGGTTGAATTTGACTTGGAAAAGGTTGAAATTGACTTGGAAATGCTATAGATGGTAATATGTTTGAACAGGTAGATAAATTTAGGTATCTAGGTTCTACGATAACTAGAAAGAACGAAATTGAAGAAGAGATTAAGGTTAGACTGAAGGCGGGAAATACTTGTTATTTTTCTGTGACAAAACTACTTAGGTCGCGCCTCTTGTCCCGGAACTTAAAAATTAGAATCTATAAAACAATTATCTTGCCTACAGTTCTTTATGGATGCGAAACTTGGCCGCTTACATTAAGAGATGAGCAGCGTCTTAAGGTTTTTGAAAATAAAGTATTGTGCAGAATATTCGGACTGAAGAAGGATGAGTTAACCGGAGAGTTCAGACGGTTACACAACGCCGAATAGCGTGAGCTGTATCCGGGTAATATAATTGATGTAATTTCATCGCGGCGAATCAAATGGGCTTGTAAAGTTGTTGGGCTTAGTAAAGAGAGAATTCCTAAAAGGTTAATATTTGCTGTGCCGAATGGTAAGCGTCCGAGGGGTAGACCGAAGCGAAGGTGGGAAGATTGCATTAAAGCCGATCTGAAGGGACTGGGTTTGGACGGCGAACGGTGAAGGGAGATGTGTAACAAACGATTGGTGGTGTCGGCATCGAACCTTCGGGTTCGCTAAGCCTTATTATTATTACTATTATTATTATTATTATCAATTAGAAATTTTTAGACACTTTTTAAAATATATTAATGAGCACAATATCAGAGCAAAGTGGGTCACATAGTCCTTTTTTGCCAACTCCTGAGGATTACCTAGAGGTTGCCACTTTCTTACCAGAGTGGGAATGTCAAGTTTCATTTCCCAAAGCCGCCAAGAAATAAAAATAAATCGATCCAGGAGGAAATCAAATCCACAACGTTCACACTAGGACCCACATCCCAATGTGCTCTGCCATGCTGTCCTTAAACCAAGATCATACTAAACCATAAAGGGTGATCTCAAGAATAAATTTCTAAAAATGGAAATGAACTGCTGGCTACAAACAGCAGAAATATCCAAAATGTAGTAAAGTTAAAAAGGAAACAAAGCAAGAAAAGATGGAAGTAGAATAAGCATTCTAGAAAAGTTTCTAAAGTAGTATTAATATTTAAAAAGAACACATGAAGGAAGATTACTAAGGTAAATCAACTCTTGAAAAATAAGCAGATCAATGAAAACTATTGATAATTAAATGGAGGAATGCTTGAAGGACCTTTGATAGGAATCCCATTAATGAATGGGTCTTGGATAGAATAATCTGGAAGAGGACCATACAAAATATACGTTAAGGAACACCACTGTTTCAGTGGAAATTCCTGAAATTCTAGAACAATTTTTTTAAAAATATTTTATACATTTTCATGCTATTAGTTAATTTTAGCTGATACTTAAGATATTAATAGAGTAAATAAAAAATAAATGACCGTTTTTCAACCAAATATTTGCATTATTATTTCTTTGATATAAAATACAATTAATACTCAAAGTATAGTCCATTGTTATCTACAGTCATTAGCCATCAGCTAGCCAATTGGTCGATCCCAAGCTGATAGCATTCTTTGGGATGGCTGAAAAAGAATGGAACTCTTGGACTGCAATTTCAACTTCTGCAAAATTATCAAATTATTATTTCCCTGGAAGAAAATGGGCTGTGGATCTAAATAAGTAGCTATCTGATGGTGCAAGATCTTGACTATATGTTGGATGAGACAGGAGTTTGAAGTTCTTTACTTTTCTTTGGTTCGACGGGAAATGTGAGGACGAGCATTATCTTGTTGGAATAAAATCCTTTTTGGTTGATCAAAGCAGGATAACGCTCTGACAACTTCGCATACAATCATTCCAGTTGTTCACAGTAGAGTTCAGAATTCATAGAGCATCTATCAGGAACAAATTGGTGATGAATAACACCTTCAAAACTCCAAACGCAAAGCATAGATTTTTTTTTCAAATGGCTCCCTTGCAGCAACTGGAAAAGCAGTTTGACCACGATCTAGTCATTGCTTAAAGGTATTTGGATTTTGCCAGTAAACCCACTTTTCATCATAGGTGACAATCTTCCGGTAAAATCTCATATCAGAAGGGTTTTTTAATAGATTTTCACAAATTTTGAACCTCTTAGCTGATTGCTGAGTAGTAAGTACATGAGAGACTAGTTTACTGCTCTTTTTCGCCTTCCCCATGGATAGTAGATGGCGACTAACAGTATCTTTTGACACACCACACTCCCTTGCAATATCCATTAATGGTCGTCCGGAGCCCTTCTTCCTTTCTAACATCATATCTCCACTGCTAAATTTTTCAAACCAATGCCCCGCAGTGTGCAAGTGAAGGACACCTTTCACTTCCTATTAAATAATTAGGTGCTTCAGCAGCTTTTTTTTCAGTAATGCCTTAAAACTATGAGAATTTTGTAGAGCACTGTCACATTTCGTTTATAAAACAAATACCTACACTGAGGGTTTTTTTTTTAAGAAGTTGAATGGGATTAAATAAACTTAGAGAATGCTCTAGAGGGATTATTAAGTATTGGTAAGTATTAAATAGGATTAAAATATTTACAGTCCTTTGAAATCCTGAATTTGATAAAACTGTCATTTTTTTTTATACACTCTATTATGTTAGGAATCCTAAGAAATAGCCAAACTTTTCATACCTTGTTATAACAGGAGGTAGCTGGAGGGATGAGAGCCACAAAGATAAAACACCAACGGCCTGTTTTCTTACAACAATGCGGCACATTTCAGCAAGACCTAGTGGATTGTATTTGGTATGTTGTAACCAGCCATCTATTTTGCTAGTATCCACAGGCCATTTTGAAGGAGGCAAAACCGATGGCTCCAAGTTGGTTATGTTATAACTAACAAACAATAATTATATAAATAAAATTTAGTTAATAATAAGTTTTATAAGATAAAAATCATTTCTTACCCAGAATAAACAAAGGCACGTGCAACAGAAATCGATGACATACTCTTGACGAGGGCCATAACAGGTTGTGTGACTTTAGCACCAAGTGCAATTAATGTGACAGCTGCTTTCTTCTTTCCTGAGAGTAATGAAGCAATCAACGGAGTTTGACCCCAAGTTAATCTTTCAATGTCAGCACCGGCTTCGACAAGAGTCCTAATAATTTTAAGGCAAGGTCTATCAGCCATGGCTACAGCACAATACAGAGGTGTTTTCTCAGAACTACCTCCGACTTGATCAACGACAGCACCTGCAAGAAAAATATAGTTGATAATATAATTAAGTCTCTCAATAACAAACTTTAAATTTTTCAATTACCATAAATCTCTGACTGTAATTGACAACAGACATTTTATGCTTTCTTACAAATAATCAATTTATAAGATTAATAAAAAACAAAATTATTAAATCAATAACAATCTAGCCAAAATATGATTAAATAACATATCTAATACCACAAATAATGTTGATGATTAAGAATTGAGTATCTCAGTCAGTAACAATACAGTTTAGACTGTTTTTTTTTTTCAAATCTTAATCGATGAAATTTGATTATCCTATATTACACCTTCTTCTTATTTGGAGTTAAGACCCACTAATTCAGTCTTAGCCTGCTCAAGCTTAGACCACCAGTCCTGTCTGTTCCGTGCTGCTGCCTTCCAGTTCATAACACCGAGCAGAGATCTCGTGTCTACAGCCACGCAGTCTTCCCAGCCAAGTCTGGGGCGTCCAACCCGCCTGGTACCATACATTTGCCAAGCTATGATCTTGTAAGGAACTGTGTTTGGATCCATCCTTATAAAGTGACCAGCCCAGCGAAGTCTTGATACCTTTACAAATGTTGATACGTCTATTTCTTTGTACCTCGCTCTGAACTCAGCATTCGTTCTTATATTACACCGTTACACCATATATTACAGCATTCGTTACTATATTACACTGTTAGACTATAAAGTCAAAACTATGTTTAAAGTTAATCGAACAACAATTACCATTTAAACTTACTTTAAGAGTAACTATAAAGGATTTCAAACTTTTCGTCAGTAAATGATGAATTAGGTTGTAGAGTGAAAGTTGGCAACACCACAATATCTCAGGCCAACTTAATGTATCTATTTAAGTAGTGATACAAGGAAAAATAAAATTTCCTCTATTAAAAAATAAATTTAACTCCTTTTGGGTTAAATTTCATTATATTTTTTTCTCCCAATCAGCAGATTAAATCATTTCTTAGAATTTACATGGAGTAGTAAAAAATATAGAGTATTACAAATTATGATATTAGGACAAACAAATGACAATAATATGTATTGACCAGTTGGCCTATTTCATATAGTAGATTGGTCAGTGAACAAATTATAAAATAATAAGGAAATAAAATGATGGAACGTAACATAAGATGTATGAATCAACTCTTATTTCCTCAGTAATTGAAATTGACCACGAAAAATTAAATAATTTGAAAAATTCTTTCAAGTTAGTCTAATAATAATAAGCTGTACCTTCGATAATGACGGTCCTGTTTTGGTGATTTTCTTTTTCCTTTTTACTTTATAGGGAATTAATTAATCTTCCATATAATCATGGGTGCAATCAACAATAAAATTTATATATATTTTCTTTTATTCACACATAACGAGGAATTATATATGCAACATCATTAATAAATTTTTTACAAATGTGAAAAGAAGCTATAAAACATCATTATTAAATAAGAAAATTAATGATGATTTAAAGAACCTAAAAGCTTTTTTGGATAATAATAGAGATATTATAATAATTAAATCAGATAAAACAAAGCAATTAACTATAATGAATAGAAAAGATTACACTGAAAAAATGGAGCAGTTATTAAAAAAATAAATATTTATGTGGAAAAGTTGCAAAAATAAGGATTGATTGACAAATATACAAAAATAAAATTATCTGCTAACAAATATACAGATCCAAGAATATATGGTTTAATAAACTTGCACAAACCTGAAAAAGGTCTAAGATCAATAATAGTTAATACAGATGGACCGACAGACAAACTTGCAAACATTTTTAAATCAACATTAGATTGTCTAACTAAAGTAAATAATTATGATATAATTAATAGGAAGCAATAGATATGTTGAAGAGTTTGAGTTTGGACCAAAATATTAAATATAACATTAGTAGTTTTGATGTTAAAGAACTCTTCAAAAATGTTCCTATTGATGAAGTGATCAAGATGATAGAGAAAAGTTGGAACATTATTTAAAAAAACACAAATATTATAAATAAAAAGGTCTACATAGAAGGCATACAATTATGCATTCTAAATAATTATTTTAAATTTTATGATAATTTCTACAAAATGATAAATGGTCCCCGAATGGCAGGTAGATTATCAGTGGCACTTCGTGGTTGTTATTTAAACAAAATCATTAATGAGCAACTCCCAAAGATAATAGAAAAACCAATATTCATCAAAAAATACATAGATGATCTATAAATAGGCACAAAAGAAAAACAAGAACCTGTTTGGATAAAAAAAGAAAATAGCTGTGATAGAATAATTATTATTCAAATCATCCAAAGCATCAAATTAAAAATAGAGCAAAAAAAAACTAATAAAAAAATCTATATATAAGGTTAACTGATGATAAATATTTGAAAGAAATAAAAACTGGAATTTTTAAAATTTTGTGTAATAATTTTTATCCCCATAAATATATTAAAAGGCTTAGGTATAAAATTTATCAGGAGATAAATAATGCTAATAAAGGTAATAAACAAATAATTTAAAAAAGCTATAATTATAATTAAAAAAGTCTTATAACTAAAAAACTAAAATAAGGGAATTGATAATGGATTTTTTTAAAACCATCGAAAATGAGAAGGATAATAGTGAAGAAGAAAATAAAAAAAATAAGACACAACACATGAAAATGAACAGTTTTTTTAAATTGAAATATTTACCAGGAATAACTACTAAAATTAAATATACATTAAAAAAATATGACCGTAACAGTATAAAGTTTGGTGTATATAATAATAATAAATATGAAAATATGAAGGATAAAATTAAAAAAGAGAATAAACCAAATGTTATTTATAAAATTAATTATAAACAATGCACAAATAAATTTTACATTGGGGAAACATCTCAAAATTTGCAAAATAGAATTAATCAACATAAGATAAATACTAAAAATCAGAAAAATATCAATGTCACAGCTCTAGCAAAGCATAGTATCAGGAATAATCATATTTTTGATTATGATAAAATAGAAATTTTAAATAGAGCAGAGGATAATAAAATAAGAAAGTATCTTGAATTTATCTATATAAACTAAAAATATTAAAGATGTGGTTAATTTCAAAATGGATATTAAGGGGATTGGGTAGCACTATGTAGACATAATTAATAAATTAGAATTTTAATTAAATTAAAGTAATTTAAATAATCAATTCAGCAAATTTATTAGCAATAATATGAAACTTAAAGCATTAAAATAATGCAGTACTCTTAATTCCAAAGAGCATAATAATAGATAAGCCCACAGCCCACAGTGGACATAAGGCTATTAAAAAGATAGGACGAAAATGTATACCATTTTAATGTAATTTTAAACTAGTGAGATGTGTCCAAAGGTAGTTTATAAAATAGTATGGTAAAATGTTGAAAAATTTGTTGTTTGGCCTTTGCCTTTCTTATTTCAGAATTTTATTCTAATTTTCAGAATCTTTATTTTAATTGTTAAATGGACTTTTCATAACTAGTTATGAAATTAACTTTTGAAGAAGGTGAGGATAAGATAATGATGTAAGCAGATATTTTATTCATTAAGCTGATTATGTAAATTTGATAGATTGTTGTTGTATGTGCTGTTGCATTTTTTTCATATATATTTGTGTTTAACGTATTGTAATATTTTAGATAAAAAGTTAGGCTTAAAAATGGGCAAAGTTGGCCTGAAACGTTGTCAAAATAAATAAAAATAAAAATGAATTGAGGCATTGAGCGGAGATGAAAGAGTTCAAATTAATTTTAATATTAATTTTAAATCAAATTCATTTAACATAAATTAAAATTATGCAGAATTGTTTAAAAAAACTAAATAAATATTTTTTCCTTAAACCTCTAAATAATATAAAATTAAAATAAATCAAGACAGAGGGAACCTTAATAGTTGTCAATGGAGCAGTCTAGCCTACAGTGTGCAAGTGAAATGAGTGTTTTCAAGTATAGTGGCTAAAATTAACCATAAGAGAAAATGAAATAAGGTAAAAAAAATCCATTTTTTTTTTTCTTTTTTGACATACCAATTTTTGTTGAAATAATAATTTTTATGCATAAAAAAATTGTACATGTGAGTCTTTCAGTTGACAGAATGACTAACTCCAATTTCAACATTTTAGATTAATGTCATTTCCTTGAAATTTTTAATTTTATTAACATGTTTAAAAATAATAATAAGCTGAAATTATTCGATAATGAGGGTCTTATTTTGATGATTTTTTTTTTTTTCCTTTTTGCTTTGTAGGGAATTTATTAATCTCTCATATAAAAAGGGGTGCAATCAACAATAAAATGCATATCTATTTTTTTTATTCACAGATGAGTTTCTTCACCTTTATAACTTGCAAGAAATTGCAGGATGATCTTCAAAATGGTTCATCATTTTGATCAAAATCCAATCATCATCATCAATCATTGGATTTGATGGAGAATTAATGAAGATATGGCATGGCGTATCAATAAAAAAAACACCTTTGAGAAATAATATATAAAGACAGGTATGTAATATGTAACTAACACTTTGGGTACTAAAAACTACTATACTATACTCCATATTAATACATTATTTGCTTATATACAGATAAGTGAAGAAAAGTGAATGCAAGATACGGTTAAAATTACTATTAAATAAAGCAATAAAAATAATGGATGAGCCAAGAATCAATAAAATAATGAAAATCAAGAAATTGTTTTTAGATCATTTTTATCCAATAAATATTATTTAAAAAAATTGTAATGCCAGCATAAATAAAAATAAAAACAGTATAAACAGAACATTTAAAAATTATGATGTACCTGAATATTACTTTGGATATACAACAACAAATAAAATAGAAATTTTGTTGAATAATATGAAAGATAAAATTGATAAAAACAAAATTACAGGAGTTTTATATAAAATCAATTGCTTGGCCTACTCAGCTATACATTGTGGAGAAACTGGACAATTTATAAAAGACAGAATACATCAGCATAAAATT